CATCTGTCAAATGCATAGTTGTTTGAAGAAGATAGCACTGAGCAGCTCCACGCAACAAAATCTGATGTGTAATCATAGTACATTGGAGGACATTTCTGGAAACAGGAAAAATACACACTGTATAAAACACAGTCTTAAAAAATGTAAACATTTTCATAAATATTTTCTAATTATTAACCATTCTCAATACATTAGATTACATTAAACAAACATATGCTACTAAGTAAGAAACAAACACTGCCTGATCAGACACCATACAGTCCAGCACCAAAGCTACTGCTACAGATACTTTCAAACACTGATATTGAATGAGCATACACCTGATAAAACAAAAAGGGAGGGAGGAGGAAACAAAAACAAATCTAAAGGAACAATCCCCATGATGAGATCAGTTCAAACTGATAATTTAATATTTGCATTTCTATCGGTAACAAATATAGAAATAATATATGTTTGCCATCAAATTTTCACTCAAGTGGAAAACTGAAAAAAACTTTCAATGATCTTTTATTAGCAGAAGCATGTCTGACTTTTTATTTCCTTTTCTTTTTCTAAACTGCTCCTATGCAATATTCCTTCAACCATCGGTAAGATTTTATTTAAGATCTCGAATTTGATTAAACTGGAATGACAACAGATTTTTAGTGCTTCTAGTAAGTGAAAGTAGACACTTAGGGAATATCATTGTGATTAGGATCAATACTAAGGTCAGGAAATTTTATCTAGCCCTTTATTTACAAATCCTTCAGTTTTCAGCATTATGGGCTATCTCCAGATAAAGCCTCAACTTCTATTAAACCAGGCTGTAATGTAATTAGAATGAAAACAAGTGTGATATATACCAATCGGGAAATATGGAAGACCAGGAAAAGAATTCTGCTAAAAAAGAAGAAACTACAAAGATCTTTAGAGAACACTCATTTTTCTAAATCCCACAGAGATATAAATACATTACTTTTTGAATTGCTTTCCTCTGCAAACTAGACATAAAGGAGAACCTTACACTCCCATGCACAACCATCCTTTCAGAAGTAACAAACATGAATTAAATCCTGGCTCTCCAGATTGTCAGCACATTTGTTTGGAAGGAGTCTGTAAGAACACAACACAGTGTATATTTTACCTTAAAGCATGAAGTCCTTCAACGCCAAGTACTTTACATGCAGGGATAGATGCCAGAGCCATAGAAAGAAACAAAATGGGAACAGCACACCAATGCCTACTTGTCATCTTCTGAATAAATTTTAACAAGAAGCTACCTTAAAATAAAAGTAAACAAAACAAACAATCCAGAGTGATTTCTTGTTCTCCCATGCATTTAAATAACATGGACCTCAGCAGAAGACTTATGATAATTTTTGACAGTTAAATGGAACACAGCAAAATTACATTCCAAAGAAGTCTGTCATCAAGGTAATATGATAAGGAGAGAACCAGAAACACATCTAATATTGGTTTTAGTAGTCTGCACTAACCACCGTATTAAGGAATGGAATTTTAACTCTGATTGTTTTGATTTGCCTTTTTTAAGCTGCTACTCAGTTTGTGTGATGGCAGACCTTAGTACACAGTGATTCAACCTGCTTGATGGATGCTGGCAAGGCCAGAGCAAGCCTCAATAAGGATCTGCAGTCAGTGGAAACAGGCCACGCAGTCTCAGGATTACTAATCACAGATCTTCCATTTTGTGATAAAATACATGTCTTGGGACAGGGCAGGGAAACAGGCCATCTGTGGCATTACAAATATGTGTTTCCTACCAGAATATGTACCTGTAGATACAGGGTGCTGAGCAGAGCTGGTTTTATCCTTATTTAATCCCATTAGACCAGATATTAAATTCTGGTCTGTCAAAGGATGCTCCTTCCTTTCAGCCTACACTCACACCAAAATTTGGAACCATCTCAGAACTCTTCCTCCATCCAAACTCACAATAACAGAATCCCTATTCAGTTTCTGCTTCAGCATTTAGATTGGTTCTTTTGAATGCCTCACTACACAGGTCATGACTAAAAAAGTCTGGTAGACAAATTAAAAAGAATCTGCAAATACTGTCCACTTTCAGAACTTTGAAGCCTGTTTGGCAAGTCTGCTTCAGTTTCCCCCTAAAACAATTTCATGACTTGATACTGCAGCATCCCTTAAAGCCTCTGAAGACCTTCCTTTTCTCTGGTAACTCCACTGCTACAAGAACTACTCCTTTTTTCTCTCAAGTAAATGTTTTCATGAGATACAGAAAAGGGGTCCATAGTTTCTATTTAGTTTCTTCACATAAAAAAAAAAATAAAGGTGAAACTGAAACATACCTTTTTCTTCTTCTGGAAGAAGCATGAAATAAGTAGCCAAAAACTTCTGTAGCCTCATTCCCAAAGGAGGACAGGCTCCTATTAACTGACTCGGTGTCCTGTTGGGTTTTAAAACATCAAATATACAATCGGCATACCACAGCATACAACACCTTTAGGATTAGATTTAAGAGCTTTAATCTAAAATCTAACAGATTTAGAATGTTTAGGATTTTTCCTAAACAAAAGCAAAGTTATAACTCAGTGGTTAATTGCAGAATCTGTGAAACAGGCCACAGACATGGGAGTGCAACTCCTCAAACCTTTCTCTGCTCTTCACGTATTTACACCAAGGGAGGCCAATGCCATCTGCCAACCATAAACAGTCTCCTGTAAAAACCCACTTCCAGCAGTTATGAATTGGCAGTAATCATAGTCCTCCTTTCTGTGTGGCAAGAAAATGAGAATATAAAAAAATACTACACTAAGTTATTAATTTATCATCTCCCACTTCATTTCCAAATTAGTATTTCAAAACAAGCTGCAAAATAGGACCTTAAGGCATCCTGCATTGCTAATACTAGGATTAAATTGAACCTAGTTTATCTTACAGCTACCTACCTTTCCAAAAAAACTCTTTACCTGTTTAGCAGCACTATTTTCTATGTGTTTTCCTTTAGCTAAGATTTTACCCACATACTCAAACCAGTGTTATTAGAACATGTCTAGCAACCAAGAAATTAAATAAACAAACAAACAAACCAGTGACTTACCTGCTGTAGAGGGAACTTTCTGACAGGGCATCCATTAATGGTCCAATAACAAACTGACAAAAGAAAACAAGAACAATGGCTAAATACACATTTGCAAGGCACTGTTACATAGAAGCTAACTAGACTTATTTCACCAGACTTTAAAAGAACAGAGTCAGAAATTACAGAATACTCTTGCTAATAGTAAATAGTAGGAGCAAAAAGAGGAGGTAACTAAAGAGAAGGGGGAGCAGGAGAGTAAACAAGCAAAGCAATTTTTCCAATAGATACATTTCAGAGAGTATTGTGAAAGGTGTAGACAAATAAGAATCCTTTTGGGGAACAGACAGAGAAAAGATATTTAAACATTAAATAAAAGAATGACTAGGATGCAACTCGGGTACAACGATTTAGGGTGTATATTAAGGTTGGCTTAATTTAAGTTACTCATTAAGAGGCTGACTTAATTTGACACTTTACCTAACAAAATAGCACAGGGACCTGCAGCATCAGCTGGTCACCCAGAGACTCTGCAGAACCCAACAGACAGTGAGAAGACCCCAGACAAAAAACCACTATTGGACCAAGAGGCACGTGCAAGGCACATGAAGAGCAGGTGCACAGACTGTAAGGGTACAAAATCCCAAGGACTCTTCCCTTTAGGGTCCTTCTAGGGAGGCATCAATGGGAGCTGTTATTATGTCACTGCACTACGATTAAATTACTTAAAGGAACCAGTCATCTGGGGCTCTGCTATAGAAAACCCAGGGTAGAGTTGCTAAGGGAAACCTGTCCAAGTGGAGTGAGTGTAGGGAGTCAAGCAGGGACCCACTGGCCCATTGGAGCCACCCGTTGTGATTCTCAGGTGGTGGGAGTGTGACCCCCAGAGTGACCTCCAAATGTTCAGACAGGAACTCTTACTTAACACAGGGAGCTCCGAAAATCTGAAGCATCCATCACTCCTACGACAATTTCAGTTCTGGCAACAAATCTCAATTAAAACGGGAGCCAATTTTAGTTAGAGAGCATTAGTTGGAAATGTGGGAATGAATGACTGCACTCAAAAACATATCCCCTCCCGCCTGGCCATTTTTCAAGTAATTACATATTTGACACTACTTACAAATACTGCTATCAGTTGCACAGCTAAATCAATTACTTTTACAGAATGTGTCTGGTTCTAACACTACTGAAGCAATTAGTGTTGATATATTACAAATTAATACATTTAGTTTGTTCAAGCAAGTAACAGTAACACCCTTACCTCCAAGAAACCAAGTGAATTTGGAAGATGCTTTGTTTCATAAAGCTCCAGAAAATGAAGAATGCCTTCCTTTGTCAGTGTTTTATTCTCACTCTCAAACATTCGTTTATAAACGCACATGTGCCACGATGGGTGAAACAGCCAACAACCTGTTACGAAAGGAAATTCTTCTAAACTGACACAGGAACGACAGTGACACATTGACACATTAACACACTAACACAGAACATACTAACATTTCAGTCAACATTACAGTCTACCCCCTGGATGAGTCAAAAAGATGACTATAGCTACTAACTTATAAAAACACCCTGCTAAATCCAATACCAAAAAAAATATCACAGTTTTCCAAACTTACCCTCTACATTTTATTAGTTAAAAATTAAAATTACTATAAAGTGCAAATGTCACATCTTTCTTCCTGCAGCTCCACTTATACCAATATATTTACCTGCATTACTTTCACATTAATAGTCTTCCCACTTTACAAATCTCTAACATCTCCCACTGCCTAACTACATGTGCTCTGTTTTGCCCTAGACACACTGCCTTAACACTCATTTTATTTATTCTCTCTCCATTTATAATAAGTTGTGGGTGTGGTGTCCCTTTTACAGAGTTGTGCAGGGGACTTGGCTACTAAGACCCACTTCAAGAATCTCTGGTTTTATTTTCAGATTAGCTTAAGTAAAGCAAAACGCAGTGGAAAACGATCATTTATTTGGCGTTGCTGACAGAAAAATAGTATTGCAAGATAACATGGTAAGCAATACACATATGTTAGGATTTCATCTCAGAAAAGGGAGGCGACTGCCTGTGCATGTTTGCCAAGCAACCAGTGCATACAGCAGACTAACAAAAACTAGAATAGCCACACGGAAAACACCTAAATTGAGAAAAACAAAACAAAACAAAAAGCTGCTACTAAAACAGCAGAAGAAATCAGTAACATGTAACTTAACTGCCCAGTATTTAAAGATGTACCAGAAAAAGTTACATCTTACCTTTGTCCTGTGATATGGCATGCTCATATAAACTGTTTAGTTTTGGTAATACTGGCTTTATGACATGGATCTGAAATGCAAATCATATGCAATGTAAATAGTTTATATCTCAAACCTAGGAACTGTCAGTTACTCTTGGGCTAAAATTTACTAACAGGAATAATACAGTAATTGACAACAGAAGTGCATTTAAATAAACCTGCAATGCCTGTAGTACATAACACTCAGTTGCAGCTTAGCACTGAAGAAAATCCAGGTACTACTTTCTCAGCTCAATCCACTACTTTAACCAGATTTATCCCATAGATGGAGTTATGAATTTATTCCAAATGAATGACACGTGCTGTATTGGAAGTATTTAAAAGCTCAAACAAAAGTATTCCTGCTAATGCTTACTTAAAGCACCCTCAATCACCGAAACTGGAAATACTTTGCCCAATAAAGACATTTACAGTACATATGCCAGAAACGAGGTAGTACGTCTGAGATGGGCTCGTATTCTACAGCACTCCTACCTGGTTTCCTTCCAAAGTTTCCATTATCAAAATATAAGTTTCCCAAAACTGCAGGAGTTGCTCATTCTTCTCAGCAGACCACCAAAACAGACTCGGCTCTAACACAAAGAGAGGAGGACACAGGTTTCTCCCCGCCCCGCAGCCCGGGCCGTGCTCCCCTTCCTCCGCCCGCCGGCCGTACCGTGTCCGCCGTCCGGGGGGCAGCGCAGCTCGGCGCGCTGGCCGCTGCTCAGGTCCAGCGCTCGCTTCAGCAGGTAGCGGGCCCGCTTGCGGCACAGCCCGTCCCGCTCCGTCAGGCCCTCCTGCACCACCCGCCAGAACCGCGGGCACAGCCGCGCGTCCAGCCCCGGCCCCGGCCCGGGCGGACCCCTCGGCAGCAGCGCGTCCGCCAAGGCGCTCAGCGCCAGCAGCGCCCGCCCGGCCCGCGGCGTCCCGCCCTCGCCCAGCAGCCCCTCCCAGACGCGGGGCAGCGCCGCGCCGTTCGCGCCCAGCGCCGGCAGCAGCCGCCCGGCTACCAGCGTCGCCGCCGCCTCGCCCTCGCCCTCCTCCCGCACCAGCGCCAGCGCCGCCGCCACGCACCGCGCCACCAGCTCCGGCTCCTCTAGCCGCGGCGCCGCCGCCACCAGCGCCTCCACCGCCGCCTCCTCCGCGCCCGCCCCGCCGCCCGCCGCCAGCTCGGCCAGCGCGTCGCGGGCGAGCCTGTCGGCCAGCGGCGCCCCGCACAGCTGCACGCAGTGCCGCAGCGCGCCCCGCGCCGCCCGCGCCGCCCGCAGCCGCTCCCCGCACCCCGCTGCCCCGTCCCCGCCGCGCAGCAGCGGCCGGCACCGCTCCAGCGCCACCTCCCAGGCCGCCCGCCGCAGCGCCTCCGCCTCGCCCGGCGGCGGCGGCCCGCCCGCGGCCAGGCGCTGCAGCAGCAGGCGCAGCGCCTCCGCCCGCTCGGCGGAGAGCGGCGCGCACACCGCCCGCAGCAGCGCGGCGCGGTCCCCGCAGCGGGACAGCAGCGTGTCCGCCAGCACCACCTCCATCGTGCGGGGGGAGCCGGGGGAGGAGCGGCGCCTCCGCGGCTGCGCAGGCGGGGGCGGGCGGGGCCCCCGAGGGGCGGCGGGCGGCGGAAAAGCGGTATGGGTTAAACCGTGGTTTGGCGGTACGTTTGCGTTCAAGCTATTCTTCGTTTTCAGATCATAACATTTTTTTAAACACAATTTTCACCTAAAAAAAAAAAAAAACCCAAACCAAAACAACCAGAACGCACAAAACACCAAGCCTTTCGAGAGGACCTAAGGGGGGAACACCAAGTTGAACATGAACCAGCAATGTGCCACTGGGGCAAAGAAGGCAGCAGGTGGAAGCCCGGAATTCTTCCCCTCTATTCAGCACTGGTAAAGACACCCCTCTAGTGCTGGGTCAAGTTCCGGACTCCTCAGTGCAAGGGGTACACAGACATACTGGAAAGGGTCCAAACTTAAGGCACAAACTGGAATGCAGGAGTCTCTCTCTGAACATCAGAAAACACTTTTTCTATGGGGTGATCCAGCGCTGGCACAGGTTGTCCAGAGGAGTTTCCATCCTTGAAAGATACTCAAAACCCCTCTCGTATGTGATCCTGTGTAACTGGCACTAGATGACCCTGTTTGAGCAGGAGGGCTGGACCAGAGGACCTCAGAGGTCCCTTCCAATCTCAGCTGTTCTGTGATTCTGTGCTGCTGTGAAAAGTGAGATGGGCACCGCCTGTGCAGCCCTGTTGTGCAAGCGGCCAAGAGACTGGTTGCAGGAGAAGTCACATCAGCTGTGTAGCTCCCACACGAGCACTGGGGGAAAAGTGAAGCCCTGGAGGGCTCTGGCCTGTGGGGTTTTGTGGTGCCATGCTCCCCCATGGCACTGCACCCACCTGCATGAGTGTTCCTGGTCGTGGTGACTGTCAAGCACAGTCTGGATCCCTGTGTGCTCTCATGGGCTCAGCATGAGGGGGCCTAATGGAGACATCCCGGTTGCAGCCCTCTGGCTTGAGGGGATGAAGCTCCTTCATTGTGTGCCGAAGAACCTCTCTTTACTCTTCATGCACATCACACCACAAGACCAGACAGGAGTAATAAGCAAAATACCCAGTTTTCTCACCTGTCATGCTTGTTCTAACCATTTATGCCAAAAGAAGTTGTTGAAACCAGTCTGTGTTCTCATCACAGCGTACCAGAAGTCTGCCTGAATGCCTTGCGTCTTCCTCAAAAGAAGGCCAGAGGCATTCCTGGACACTTGACTCCATGCTGTTGGCTTGTTAGGAGGGCCTAGGCCACCAGCGCTGAGGCTGGAGAACAACTCCCGTACTGGTGCAGCCGAAACCTAACTAAGAAAATCAAACTGATTTCTGGGAAGTGTAAATTCACTGTGCAAGATCACAATTCCTGTGAAAAAAATTTAGAGATCGGCACCTCAGAAATGGTGGCAAACTGCTCTACTAGAAGATGTAGTCATAGGAAAAGGCAAACCTGGAACCTCCTGTTCCTCTGAAAGCAATGAACAGCACATTTCCTGCACAGGAGCACAGATACAACATGGTTTCTAGTGGGCATGTGCATTACCTTGGCCAAGCCATAGCTGCTTACAGTCTAATGAAGAAGAAAGACTCACTGCAAGTTTTCTGAGTGGGCTCCCACTTGATCACTCCTCTCTCACATGAATAGTCTCTCCTTTTCCTGGCAATTCATTTTCCCCAAATGTTTTTAGAAATTTGTTTTCTTTGAGATTCTACTGATTGCAAAATGGTTGAAGCTTCTTATTAGAAGTTAACCTACAGTGTGATTGCATATTTCCAGAATATGTAATCTATTCTGGAAAAAAGCAGTAGAAATTAATTATTTCAAACCCAGCAGCTAACCCAGTTTCCACATGCCTTACCACTCTACATGTGTTCTGTTACATATCAAATAAAGAATATAGGAGAAGCTAAAAGAAAAAAAAAAAGTCGAAATATTACCTTTTACTCAAATTTAAAGTAAAACTAAGTACTTTGTTTCACACACACAGCAACATGTTTCATAGGAGGAAATATTACAATGTATCTTAGTAAATAGAATGCTTACAGTTTAAATCTCTTCAATGCCATAATGTATGTTGTTTGCTTTTCTATTTGCTCTGATGTCTTTAGTAATTTTGCCATCACCTACTTATAGCATGCAGTCTGATAAATTGTGAGTTTTTCTTTTATCAGGCTTGAAAAAGTGCTGAGCACTTTTTATTACAATCTTACTCTTCCAGGCATTTGTAAGACTTAAAAAAATGAAGCTTTAAAGGTCTGCACAACAACTAGTAATCAAAACAGAATAAAATATACTAGGTGCTACACTACTTCTCCGTTCCTGTCTGAATTCTGCTTTGCCTTTATTTTTATCACAGTGGGGTGCCAAATCTAACATGTTATTACATCAAGTTAAAGAACAGCATTTAAAGCTGAACTATTCCACTGCAGATCATATTATCAGACAAAAAAGGAAATCAGGCTTGGGTAGCTTCTGAGTCGGACATTACAACAACAAAATAAAACAAAACAAATAAACAACAACAACAACAAAATCCAGGAAGGTGGATATGGAGTCAAGAGAGAGAAAATTAGGAAGAAGCAGCATTTTGTAATTTTCAGATGGCAAGTCACACCATTCACACCTTCATACCATACTTCTTGTGTCTTCATGCTACGAGCCTAAATATATGCATTCCAGCTCTACAATTCCAACACATAACCCTGCTCCACCAGACTGTGTCCTGTTCTTTTTTCTGTACTTTCCAAGCTTATCCCAAGCCCTTCCTGCTTTCTTTTCATAGTCCCCCAGCCTGCCAACTGCAGCCACCTCCAGGATCCCAAAGCCCTTCCAGCCTAGGTTTGCTGTACCAGCCTCAGCACTCAGAACATTGCACACATGCTGATCTCTCATATACTCTACACTCCTATTTATAAGGTATCCTGTATTCCCTGACCTGTCCAACCTCAGCATATGACCTAGATCAAAGGTTGAAATAGCTTGTTTTTTTGGTTTTGTGGGGGGGTTTTGTTGGTTTTTTGGGGGTTTTGTTTTTGTTTGTTTGTGTTTGTTTGTTTGTTTGTTTAGAGAGGACAGCCTGTAGCTGCTTTCTTTATTTCTGCCAGAAAAGATATTCTCCCTCAATCAGAGTAATCTATTTTAATAATGTAAGACTAAGAGGAATTACCTGAAGCACCAAAAGCATCCACCATAATTGCAGACAGCCCTGAAATAAATGGCCAGTCTGAACATGTCCTCTTCACAGGCCGCCACTATCTACAGGCCACAAAATACTTCTCAACTCCTTGTAACAGATGCAGGGCTTACTACACACTCCTTTCCCTTAACCAGGGTCTTTCGGTGCCATTTATTACAATTAATGAGCCTTCTGGAGAACAAAGATGAGAAACATGTTATTGTTGATTCTCATCTGAACTTTGTAGCAGCATCTTTGCTGACAGTTTGAGTTTCCAGCACAAGATAATGAGTTTACCAATTTGGGGCTGATTTTACAACTCAAATATTTTGCATTAATAGTCTTCTGGTTTCCATCAGGACTTGTAATTCTACACCAGTTTAGTAATACAAGAACACTGAGGTTCCTTCCTCACAGTCCTAGTAAAGAATCAGTAGAGAAATGTATACTTGCTCTTATGTAAATGTTTTCCCTTGTGATCATATGAACAGGCAATTCTATACTAGGGACAATTTGTGGGTGATCATTCTAGTGGTTTGTTGTCTTAGAAAAGGATCATGGACAGAACTGCAATATGAACTACAGACATTTATAAGTCTTGGAAATCCCCACTTACCATTTTGGAAGTATGTGTTATACTGTTGCCATAAAGGCACTGCTAAGGTGCTGAGGTACCACAGTTGATTATTAGAACCCAGGCCAAGTATATGTCTTTCAAAAGTTTAGTTTAGATGATGGTTTTAGATCACACAAAATACCTTTCATCTCATGAAAATCCCATACTACCACCTGCACATTTACAGGTAATTCTGCACAGTTCATAAGAAGGAGGGCTCAGCTGACCCTGCAGTGTGACTTTCTTTCCTTGCTAGATTCTGTCTGCATAGTGTAAGGTCTCTAGATGAACCAGATGTGTAACACAGCCTTTTCTCTTCTCTCCCACTGCATGCAGAAAAAGGAAATGGGAGATTTCTGAAAGAGTTATGCAGAAAATTGCCCAACCACATCCCTATCCCACAATAAAGAAGTGAAAAGCACTGATGTGCTCTGTACAATAAACCTCACTTGTTAGTTGGGTATATTCACATGCTCTTCTAGATTTCCTCAGTGCTGTTGTGAAGAAAAAAAAAAAAACCTGAAACAAAACAACAAAACAGTAAAGCACATAGCTGGTACATGAATCTCACTCCAAGACAGCACTTGTGATGAGCAGCATAGGTGGGAAAAGGGGAACAGATACTATGACAAAGTTTCACACCCCCAAGTACAGACATATATGTATCTTCTAGGTTTAGGTGAAGCTTGACAAGATGGGTAGAAGTAGAAGGATTAAAAAGGGACTGTTACTGAGAAACTTCTCCTCTCTGCCAGGAGATAAGGAAAAAGGGAGTTACAAGAGGTGAGAAAGGGAAAGAGGAAGGTCACCACATTTTTTTCAGTTTCTCTTAAGTCCTTGAACCCCCTTGCTAAGAGAGAGAGAGAGGCAGAATTGTTCTAATTGAAAAAGGAAATCACTGATATGCAGCCAGGAAAGCTAGTTCACAACATTTCCACCAGGTGGTTGTGCTGTTGTCACCTCACCCTCTTGCACTTGTTCCATTTGCATTCCTACCCACATCCCCAAAAACATTTCTTCTGGCTCTTTCATGTCACAATGCAAGCATGTCTTAATCTTTACCATTTTAAAATGAGATTCAGCTTGTCCCTCCAGCTAGTCTCCCCCTTCTCCCTTTAATTTCTGAACTTCCTACCCACATACAGTGAGCATGTCCTCTTCAGCATCCCAGTCTGACTTTTATATCCCAATCTGACTGTA